GCAGAAAGTGTGCAAGAATTGTCAGGAACAGTTTTCTTCACCTTTGTTGAACCATTAAACGAGAGTTAACAAGCACAAGTAAAGCCGGCTTGACCTTCTACATAGAGCAACTGATATTTTGTGGAGATCTGCGGTGTTCCTTTGGTCACGGCCTTGCAGTAGAAAACTCCCTGATACTCGAGGCCGGGTGTCTGTAGGACAAAACCCTTGGCGGGATCATAGTTGACCAAGGTTTCATTGGCCTGGATCTCCTCAGGCGGTACTTCTCTGTGTAACGACACTTTGGCCTGCGGAGTGGTCACACGACATGGCACCACAGCTGGCTTGTCCGGACGGAGATATACAATCTCGAAGTGGATATCCGATGGGACAAAGAGGTTGTCCTTGTCTGTAAAGGATTTTGAGCACTGATTAGTGTTTTAATTTTAGAATGCAAGTAAATGACTTTAACGAATAAAGCATAATGTCAGCCAGTCGTTATTCACTCAACTTCCTATTATAGGATTGACCGTTACAGTGGTCAGTAGCAAATTTGAATCAGAGATGGCGCTATGCGTCCTTCAACGTTTTTAAAAAAATGTCTACTTTTTTTCTATCCATTCGGATGTTTTTAGATTCAAACATTTTTGACCTATAAATTTGACCTTCAGAAGCTTGTGCAATACGGATTTTACCATGCGTTGCAATTTATAGCTATGTCGTTTCAGAAAAAAAATCCACCGGTTGCTGAACCTAACCCATAATTCATGAATATTACAAAATATACTATATTATTATTATTATTATTACCGGTAATAAGAATAAGAATAAAACCTAATGTGCTTGAGAAAAAAAAGAGGGCAAATTCGGAATCAACTCAAAAAAATCCATTTAAAAAATTTTACTAGCATCTCTGATTTTAAAAAAAAACAAATGTAGTAAAAATGTGCTGACCAGTGAGTCATGGAGCCTTTTTTTTGCATACTATAAAGAGGAACCATAAATCTGAGAAAATTCTACATTGGTGGGTTCCAGTGGTGGCATGTATTGATCGGGTTGTATCAGTTCTTCAATTTTCTCCAAACACTGCACCTTAGTCTTGGTGTTTACATTGTCATGATATTGCCCCCCACTTACACGATCAGTTGCGCGGATTTTCTGTTCCGAGCAGGTTGTGAATTTCAAGTTTTTTTCAACTCATTGGAATCATGGGTGAACCTACCCCTGCTATTCCAGCTGTCTTTGGGAAAGAAATGGGGTACGCAAAGAACTTGTAAACAGTCAATTGCAGGGAGCATATAGAAGAAAAAACTCACCTATTAAGACTCATTTATGTTTTCAAAAGAACCAAATATGCCTTCATTGCTTGAAGCAGATTGAGAAAAGGAAGTGCCCTAAACTGATTTGACACGCTTTACAAAAGCTGTTTGTTCATTCACCTGCAAAATAGATGTTGGAGGAGTACACATGTTCGTGGTCCTTTTCACACTCACGACCATCACACACGACCACCCAACAACTGTACTGTCCCGTATCGGCAGCTGAGGGCGACGTCAGGGTGAGCTGACTATACTTGTCACTCTGTACGATGCTGGAGGTGGAAAGGAGAAGAGAATATGGGAAGCCATTTGAGTATTATGATGATATCCTTGAGATCCATCTTGAGGTGCATGTACGAATGCGCTCTTTGTCCTCAATTCAGCACACTAGTAAAACAACTGCTCTCTCGTGAAGCGACTGCCTAACTAGTAAAAGATTTTTTCCACTCCTTCTGTATGACATTTCTGAACACTAGTAGGACATCATACGTTTACACCCGCGTGCTAATAGGATGGACAAGCGCCTGCTGATCACCTGAGCCGAGAGTCGTTGAAGGTGTCCAGGTAGGTGGGGTAAGACCACCCGATGTTGCTGCCTTTGCAGCGCAGCTCCATGTTATTCCCCGGGGCCAGAACCGTGCTTTGGCCCAGACGCAGGAAACGCCCTTTTTCTAACACCTGCGTCAGCAGGCTGTGGCCTCTCCCACCTCCCTCCTTCACTTTGGGGTGACGTATCTTTCCTCGTTTCCCTCCTGGTCTGATGCGGTTCTCCCCTGAATCCTTTCTTCTCTTGGCTTGCTGGCAGTTGCCTTCAAAAGAGTTTTAGCAAATAGATGACTCAATGACCCCATAGTGATTTCGCCGATTTGTTTATAAATGTGGTACTTAAATACACACATGCACAACATTTTTGGTACTCCTCTCTTTAATGAAAGATGCATTGTGGTTACAAAAAATAGCTTGTATCTGACATTGCTTTTGAATAGCGGTTCAACAGAATTACCATGTTAAAGGTTTTGAATAGCGGTTCAACAGAATTACCATGTTAAAAAAAAAAAAAAGAAAAAAAAATATGACCTGTAACTGAGAGCAAGCTTTCTGACATTTGGAAGCCACATTTCTCCCTGGAATACCTTGATCATCTTGAGATCTCATTGTATGCTGTAAAGATTCAAGACACCCTGTGCCTGGTGTAGCAAAGCAGCCCCAGAACATGACAGAGCCTCCATGTTTCTCAGTAGGGACAGTGTTTTTTTCTTGGTGTGCTTCATCTATGAACCCAGAGCTCATGTGCCTTGCAAAAAAGTACCAGATTTGTCTCATCTGTCCATAGAACATTCTTCCAGAAGCTTTGCGGCATGTCATTATTCATGATGGTATCATCATCTGTCCAGGCCTTTTTTTGTTTTGTTTTGTTTTTTATATCTTTGGACAACAATTCAAAAGCAATTGGGGGTGACATGGATCAGTGGGGAATGGTCCGTCTCCCAACACAGAGGTTGCGGGTTTAAAACCGCTTGCGCAAAGGTGCCCCCAAGCCAATAATCTACTTCAGTTTTTCAGGATTTCAGGGGTGGTCCTCATTGGGGCCATGGCCCATCATAGCTGACTTGATGGGAGGGATATTCGAAAAACAATCATTCCCACTCATGGACAATATTTTTGGAGTTTATTGACCCATCGTGCATTTTTGGGGAATGTGGGAGGAAGCTGCAGTACCCATGGATGGAAAAAAAAACATGCATGAGGAGAACATGCCAACTCCAAAAAGCAGGGTTTTACCTAACATTAGAACCCAAACCATCATCATGCTCGCGCCAGTTCCTCATGATAACACAAATACGTGTAAGTTAATTGTTTTGAGACAAATGTTGCAACAGACTTACCATGCTGGAGCTCCACCCAAAATAGTGCCAGGCAAAGCACAAAACAGAGCTTCATGCTGAACTGGATGTTGGGTCCCAAGGCTGTGCAGGGCAACAGACCTCTCAAGAGGGGGCTTTTGGGTGTGAATGGAGGTCAGATTCTGAGCTTTGCTCGAACTCGGCAGGCTCCGGCTGCACTCTTCAGATTTCCAGCTCCATCCCTCCTCAAGAGTGAGAGGGAACGGAAAATAAGGGGAAAAAAACTCGGGGAACTTCGGTTTCCTCCCTCTGCTCGCTTGGATTTGCTATGTCAAATGTTCTTTAACGCTCTCTGCTGCCCAATAGCATGCATGACATCTGCCAGCTGTGCTTTTCACTCCTTTGTTACCTCTTCTTACCTAAATTGCCTTGTATGATGCTCATTTTGGACGCGCCAGAGTACTGACGTGCGGTGAGCTTTATGTCTGGTGAGGCACTGCGAGTCTTATTTTACACCTTTATGAGAAAACATAATAGCCTGCTGTATGTGCCATTAAATTAGCAGCTTTTTAATTGTGTTTTTTTACATCTACTTTCAAGCCTGTAAATTCCATCAGAGCATTTAATCATGGCACAAAGTGCAACTGACCTTCTGTCATTTAAGGCTTAACCCCTTTTAAACAATACCTGCAAGCTTTAAGGTGTACAGTTCAGCATACACTTTTGTACTTTCATCAAAAATATCAATGCACGCTCATTTGTTTGGTAGATTTTTTTAAAACTTCATCCTCATGCATAGGCAGCTGAGATCTGTAAACCGCTTTGTGTCCTTGGTTGTAGTGTTGTGATGTTACCAATAGATGGTGCTGTAGCTCCGTGTCATGTCTGCTTTTGGCGAGCGATTGCGCAAGGTGAAGTGAGACTGACCTGAGGCTTGAAAATAAATGTATTTACCCTTTTAGGCTCGGCCTAGCCTCCATCCCATGACAGTACATCCTTGTGTGGCGTCTTTTAGTTTTAATCTTTTTTTCTTAAAGGTTTATGGAGGTCCATAAATCATTTTGAGGCGATGAGGAAAAACTGCAAGAGTTTCCAAGGCGTTACATATATTGTACCGTTATACACACATTGACATTGTACAGCTGCGGGGTTCTGTGGATTGTTTCCGATCTTGCTGAGAGTGGTATAACTCGCAATGTAGTGCAAGCTGCTTTTAATAAAACAATACAGAACTCTAAAAGCCAAGCGCAAAGCATGTATTAACCCTGCATCCATCTTCACATCTTCAAGCGACACAGGCAGCATAAAGACAACAAATTCCAGATTTTTGGGAAACATACTACATCGTAAAGGCCACATTAGTATTAAAACCCAGTTTGCAATTGTGTAATAATAGAAATGCAACATACACAATTACTGTAAGTAATTAGAATCAAATCACATCATTCATTCAGACTGTAACAGTTGAAACATACAGAAAGGCTGCTTAATAAGACCCTCGCTGACAGCAGCTGAGAATAAAAGGACTATTGTCATTACACTAAAATAAAACTTGTCTCTCTTCTTTGGCATATCAAGAATGACTAAAGCAACAAATACACGCCTTCTAAAATAAGACTGCTAATCAAACTAAACATATTTGTTTTTGTCAAAGCGTTATAGTCACATGAAACAATCGTGAAAAAAAGTATTTTGATTGACATCTGAAGCATTGTGCAAGATGAAAGAAAAAAAAGTGCTTTCAACAACACTCAGTGATTACAACCTTAGGTACACCTGGACAAATGAACAATATGTAATGCAAGAAATGTATAAAAGAAGCTGAAAGACATTCAAGTGTCCCTTTAATGTGTTTTTCTGTGCTTGTGCTTTGCAGCAGTGTCGCTTTACATTGTGTAAGTGTACCTAAAGTTGTGCTATATAGCACAAAATTGGTGTATCAAAAGCCAAAAAACATGCTTGCCCCATTCAAGGAAGAGAGGAATAAAAAAAAAGGATTTTACAAAGGCAACCTGCTTATCAAGAAAAGCTCTAACGTTCATACTAAAATCATTGCAGTCTTGCCCTGACTGCGTCTATCCGAGGGAAGTCACTCTCCAGTGTGTTACCTGTCCTTTCCATTGTGCCCAAACCACAACGTGTCATGCAGTGTGTGTGGTCCGTCAGAGCAGCCCCTCATGATATGACCCCTGACCCAAAATACTGACATGGCTTTCACAGAGGCCCAAGTTGGTCAAGCTGGTGATACAAGTTCCTGAAGGCAAAGCTGCGTGTGTGTCGGGCAAACACTTCACCGCACAGTGTATTAACACTAAAATGAAGTAACTCTAAAACTGACTTGTCTTCTCCGGGGAGATAAATTGCTCCAGTTGCTTTTCTATTGCCGGCGAGCCAGTCTGCATGGCACTGCTGCTCTTGCCCTGAAGAAAGCGCTGGCGTTCCACACTGTGCCACATTCCGTAACCGAAGTAGATCAAGAAGCCTGAGAGAAAGATGGATGGATGGAGACAATTAACACTACTTGGTTGGCAAAAATGAAAGCATTTTATTATTATTGTTCGATTTTATTAGTTCCAGAATTTGTTTTATTTTAATTGATTTTATTTTATGAAGTATTTGTCGAGTGGCTGCAAAATTTTGTGTAATAAAATAAAGCAATCGACAATTTTCAAAGGAGGGCTGGACTTCCTTCTTCTGTACCAAAACCCTCATGTATGATATTCATTGACAAAAACAAAAACTCAGGACATTTTCAAAATGGATACATTTTTCATGCCCTTGCACATTCACACTGTGATGGAGTGAATGTGCATGTCTCAAGGACACGATGAGACATGAGTTGAACAGAGCAGAATTTGAACATCAACCCTTTGATTCTTGGATGACACGCTCTACCTCCTGAGCCGCAATATAGTACATTCTTAGTTAGATACACATAAAATGTCATTTTCATTTTTTTTTAAAGCATTTTCATTTCTTTTTTTAATTTGTTACCATATTTTTTTTCCCAATTATAATTTCTGTTATTTTGTTAGTTTTTGTTAACTACAATAGCCTTGCATCGGACTAAGAGACTTACCTAGCGCCATCCAAACAGAGAAACGTATCCAGGTGTCTCCACTCAATTGAACCATGAGGTAAATATTAACAAATATGCTCAGAACTGGCAGAAATGGCAAAAAGGGAACCTGTTGGAACAAACACATATAGAGCCGCATGAGCTTTTGTGTTCAACAACCTCAAGTTTTCAATCCAGAGGTGTGGAAAATACCATGAAGGAAACCCTCTGAATGCTCTGTGGTTGTCTGTAGATCACAACCACGCAACCGCCAAAGACGAAAAGGCACACAGACAGTGATGCCAGGATCCATACTTCTAGACCAGCGATGGAGTCAATGTGGTAAGTGGACAGGTAGCTGATCACACACACCAGCAGCACTGGGTTTGGAAAAAAGACATACAGGCCAATATTTGATTCTGGCTCATGACAGTATCGTTTCATTTTATGAAAAATGAGTCCGGCAATTGCACTAATGATATTCTTTCTTATGGATCACCTGTTTGATCATATCAAATTGATGGTAACACATGCCTCACCTAGCACACAAATGGAAACTTTGACCATGCTGGACGAATGCTCAGAGGGGGACACGGGTGGGTGCACTAAGGCCTGCAGAAGTGAGCCTTCTGCTTTTAACGTGTTGAGGTGGGACTCGGATTCAGTCAGTTCGGACTCGCCCTCCTCAGAGGACTGATAGTCCCTTTTACAGCCACCTCTCCGTTGCCGCTCCAAAGCGCTATCTGGCTGATACCTGGAGGTGAAAGTTGATTAGATCTGTAGAAAACCCAAATAACGCTTATACTTAGCCGTATTTTCCACACTATAAGCCACACCTAAAAGCATTCCATTTTCTCAAAAGCCGACAGTGCGCCTTACAATCTGATGTGCCTTTTATATGGATCAATATTATTTTTTGGACATAGTATTTTAAAAGTTCCACAAAGTGCTTTGTTACAGCTACAGCGGTTGTGAAAGCTCTATGTAAATAAAGCTGTATTGCATTGTATTGTATTGTATTGTATTGTATTGTATTGTATTCCCTTGAGCGTAGCTCCATCAAGTGGATGCATAACGCAACTGCAGCCACTATTGTAATTTCTATTCCATGCGCTTTATCATGAAAACAGTTTTAAAATAGGCCATTCATTGAAGGTGCGCCTTTTACTCCAAGTAGTGCCTAGTAGTGCGGAAAATCCGGTATGTTTGGAAATGCGATTACAATTTTGACATTTTATATTTTATGTTTGACTGTACTAAATTGTTTTGTTGAGATTTTTGATCCCTTTGTAGACCCAGAGAACTCATTAGCATCGCCTTCAGAGAAACGGACAGTAAACATTCCACTGTGCAAACTTGGTACTTTATGGATTTGCATTGGATTGGCTGCAAGGTGACCACTCCAGTTTGTACCCTGCCCCATGCCTAAAGTCCGCCGGGCTAGCTGCTAGTTTATCGGTGAACTTAATGAGGCCAACTGGGAGGACTGTGTGATTGGCAGACCCGATCACCACACAAACCTTAAAGTATCTGTTTAATTTAAACAAAAACGGTCAGTATTCCTGTCACAATGCCATTTAAGGTGACAATTTTAAAATAGGAAAAGAAAATGTAAAATTCGTGTACTGTTTAAGTGCAAGAACAGAGTGATTTTTTTTTTTTTGTGCATGACGAGTTACTAAATTTCTGCCCTCCAAACACTGACATATTCAACACATACAAAGTATTAGTGTTACAAACGAGAATGGTGACCTGGACAGGTGGCGGGATAAATGGTGCAGCCACGATGCAGAGGTGCACCAGGGACAAACTTAATGCCCTCTTTGCGTCATATTCAAATATTTTATTTAAATTGATTTTTGTGAAGCCATGCACAAAATGACTTCTTGCACTTAATGACAGTTTGCTGTTCAACAGATTTGTGTCATCTTTCAATGGGATTTAATTTTTTTTTAATATGCAGGAGAGTCCTTTGCATTTGGGTGAACACGAACGATTACGTCATTATTTTTTGTTTCCTCCAAACACTTTTGTTGAAGAATGGGTCTTTTATTTATGCGTTTGAGTATGAACTATATAAAGATATTGTCCTGTAAATTGGTTCAACAACAAAAAAAACCCCAAATATTTTGTCCCGATTTAAAAAAAAAAAACTTTTTTTTTGCCAGAAAGAAGTGTAAAGGGTTTAATGAGTCATCAAATCATAAATGCTCTCATATTTACAGTGTGTGAAGGGTGACATTGAACTTGTGCAACTCACACAGTTGCTGTGTTTACCGTTATGAACTTTCGTCTTTATTTCATCACTATTTGCTCTGCCACTGGGTTCTATTACCAAAGCTGTGTCAAAATGTATGTTATTATCAATGTTTAAGATTTATTACCATACTGGTTTTCGATATCTTGTTGTTCAGATTACATGTGCATTCGACTGCAATGAAGTTAGCATGTTTCTCTCTTGAGTGTCTTTACTTTCGTGAAATTTGAAATCATCAAAATGTTATTATTTTATATTATTATTATTATAATAATTATTATTATTATTATTATTTATTTATTTATTTTTAGAAAATAGGACTTCAAGCATAGTTGTTTTACCATGAGAGACATTTACACAGAAAAAAAAACTGGAAAATGTTCAATTTTAATCAAACGATCTGAAAATGAGGAATATATTCTAGGTACTAGTACATGGAGTAAAAGAGTAAAAGTAAACACTGTTACTCAGGGAGCCCCTTCACATTCATATACGAGTCACATTTACAGATCTTAAATCACAAGTTGCACTTCATAGAAATGGGCAATCATTCCTGTGGCTTGCCAAGTAGAAAAAAAAAAACATGATCCAAAAACAACAAGTTTGTTGTTGTTTCCACTGCAAACGTACCCACCTGAGAATCAGTACACACACAGCAACCAGTGAGTAGGCCAGCAGAGTCCCAATAGACATCATGTCAACCAAAGCTTTGAGGTCAAACAGGAAAGCCATGATGGCTATAGAGCAAGCAAAGACAACACAATTAGCGCATGTTACGTAAAAGGCATCCATACCAACACATACCGAAATACATACACAAACACACACCAACACTTGGACTTTGCAAGTTGAATCTTTTCCCACAAACAGATGGCACCAAATTATACCAAACACTTCAATCCAACAAAACCATATTCCTTTGCAGGCATAGTTCATGCAGTCATTTCCACACTAAAACAAGCCATATATTTCTTTCAGCTAATGAACCAGCAGGCATCATCTCCATACTGAGTTTTCGTATGATGTGACACTGCGGCGCTGCTCACAGCACCTCTTTTGTGTCCCAGGATCTGAACCCGGTATTGAGTTGATCTCAACTGGTCCATGCGAATCTGCTGCTTTTGCAACATCGTGTCATTCCATGAAACCGCAATTAAAAAATGTGTTTTGTATGCCAACGTATCACAGTTATATATGACGCATGTGCCGCACTCGAGCAAAAAGTTGCACATTTGTTTGAGCATTTTTGTCATGACAAGATGCAAGAGCAGCAGCTTAAATAAATGCTAACAGTACCACGATAAAAAAAGGGAAAATATAATTAGAATACAAGGTAGCGGTTTTACGGCAAAGTAAGTGAGTGTCCCAGCAATAAAGGCAAAAATAATAACAAGAATACAATATAGCATATAACAATAATAACACATTTACAGTGCTACTGTTATTACTACTACGCCTAGTTTAGGTTACCACAAAAACTTAACAAATTTATTTTTCGAGGGGATTATAAAATGACCAAAGGGGGACTGTGAGAGATGTTGATGGGTAATTCTGTTGATACTCATTTAACTAAATTGACGCAATTAAAAATTAAATACATATATTATTATTCTCATCTTCATTATATTTTTACAATCACACTCATTGCTGCTGCACAGCTATGAGGGGTGGGTGGTCACATACGAACACATAGGATCAGGGTGCAAGGTGGTCTCCAAATGCCCACTTGACAGCAGTGTTCTGTAATCGCCCTGGCCAACATTCCATCATCTGCCTGCGAAGGTCTGCTTGCACTCATAAACATACTTTGTGTACATATGTCAGTCTCCTGCATGGATTCCAGCAAATCAGTCTTGACTGTAAATCGAGTCAGTTGTGTTCACACCCATCACGGCGCAAGATAACCATTTGTAACTGCGCCAAGCTGCGTGCCTCTGTGAAATTATTAAAATGAGTCCAGCCTGCCCATGTGCATATTTATGCTATGCAATGCGGCGGGCAGGAATATAGAGCATTGACAGAAAAAAGAAAATATAAGATAACACATTTGTAGAGGGGTGTCAAATCCAGGTCCAGAAAGTAAACATCGGCTTTAGCCAAAGGTGCTTCTACTCCCAGGGATTTCCTTTAATCGAAGCGCCTCTGGCTGAAGCCAAAATGTGGCAGGGTTTTTAATTTCTGAACCTGGATTTGACACCTATGTTAGAATGTAGCAACTTGGATTGATCAAAAATATATTATTCTCTTATGTTGTTGCAATTCTTAATATTATTTGACTGAATAGGCATAATCTTCTCATTGTGGAGGCTATTTGAGTGACAATTCTATTATCTTTGAAGAAAATATATACAGTATATTTACCCACGAATCATCGATATTGCTAATACTGAATAAGTTATAGGTGAGCTGGAGCGTATGGATAGTGTTTAGACAGTAAAAGATCAGAATGGTCTCTTGTTGGCCAGCTCACTTGTCTTAAAAAAGGGTTAATGTTAAAAATAACGCTCACCTTAAAAAAAATAAAAAATAAAAATGGTTTTCGCATGCTCTTCTGAATAAACTTCAACATGCAGCCATCACCACCGACACCACATTACGATTCAAAGCCAAACCAAGTCCACACCACAAGGCTGTACACGAGGCCGTTCCTTGTCTTGGCTGCTTACCCGCAGTGGTACCTGCCGCCATGGTGGCAGCCACAGGCGACTGCCGCTTACTCACTTTGGACAAAAATTTGAACAGAATGCCATCTCGTGCCATGGCAAAGAGAATGCGTGGTAGGGGGAACATGGCGCCCAACAGGCTACGGAGAAGAGGGCTCATGGTTAAGTGGAGAACACTGAGGAAAGGACACATTTCACCTGCACAACTGTGAAAGCACACAATGTAAGGAGAGATGATGGACATGATGGCCAATGATTTGATTCAGATACGGTGCAAATGGCTAGCGAGGAGTTTTTGTTGTTGGGGAGTGTCTTTCATAGTCGCCTGGTGGAGAAGCATGACGGTTCCCAGCTCTCACCTGCTACTACACCGGAGCTCATAGTGGCAATAAGGGGGGTCTTCGTCTTAGGATTGATTCGGGCTAAGGCTTTGAAAAGCACCCCATCCTCTGCCATAGCATAGATTACACGAGGCATAGGGAAAATGGAGCCCAGCAGACTGCATGAGAGCAGAAACATGCAAGACCAACACGTTAGTCAAGACGCCCAAAAGCACACACGAGGACACACAGCAAACACAATCACCACATCTTCAAAGTTTGACGGGTGTGCCTTTCTTTTCTGATGGGATGTACAAATAACACCAGTTGGATTTTTTTTTTATTGAATATGATTTGATCCTCCAAGGAAAGCATTCATTGGTGCTATTCGTCAAATGTTCTTTTATTTTTTTAGATGTTGCAGCAACAGCAACTATCAATCACCTAAAACAGCCAAACGAAATACTGAAAATGGGGCAAAAATACAAAAACAACTTGCTGCGCTGTAAAATCGGCAAGAGCCAGATTTGGCCACAATCATTAATAGCATACCATGGAAAAAAAAATCAATTAATCAATCTTAGTTAAACTTTACATTTTTTGGTAGAATGTCATTGACCAGCCTTATGTTCACTTGAAGAAATATGATATGAGAAATATGAAAGAACGACTTAAAACTAATAAACCATCAGCAAAGAAAGTCACAGTGGGCTTCAGAGGTGTTTTCCATTTTGGTGCCGATGCTTTATTTGGTTACTTTTGTTTTCTTTTACTCATATGCGTTGAATTATATAAGTAAATAAATACATAAATAAATAAATCTATCACATATGAAAAACACGGTCTGGAGCCGAACCCGTCCAACCATCGGAAATTTCTATTTCGAACAACCACTTTCTAAGCAATGCGGATATTTGAAAAAAAAGAAGCCCTTCACCCACAATATCCCATTTAGCGGCACATATCATTCCAATAGCAAGACAGGCAGCATGCGCAATTCTAAATATTTGTATCCACTGCAAATAATCACACTGTATCTCATCGTAAGCTACAAAAACAGTCAGTTGGTTACCTGGTGGACAGGGCACATAGTGAACCGACAGCGACCACATATTTGGCAGGGCTCCATCCCACATATTGAAAAGCCATGGGAAGAGGGCTTTTCTCATCCAACAGGTAGTAAGGCATCATGAGTGTCAGTGCGGCCGAAACACCAAAGTACGCCAGGAAACACACAGTCAGTGACACCACAATGCCAATGGGAATGGCCTTCTGTGGGTTCCTCACCTCCTCACCTGCAGTCGTAATCAACATGACTTTATTTTTGGTTCAAAGTCATCAAGAATTGTGTGACGAATTAAAGTGTGCGCAGAACTTTCACAAATGATATATCTGTATCAAATGTAGACAACATATCAAAAGAAAGATCTCCTATAAACCAACTCGACAGGGTTGAACTTGAAAAACCAACAACTTACAACCATAAGGCCGAGCTCATACCTGTCGTCGCTATGCAATCAAAGCCTACAAAAGCATAGAAGCAGGTGGCGGCTCCAGCTAATGTCCCACTGAAACCGTATGGCATGAATCCTCCAGCTCCATAATCACTGCTCACATTGCCCACGGTTGAAAGGTTCCTAAGACAACGATACTAGAATGTCATCATGGATGGTAAAATGCACAGAGTACTGTGCATTATTGAAAAAAAAAAAAAAAAAAAAACAACTGTTTCAAAATAATTACCTGACTACGATGGTGACATTGACTAGAGATTCCTCACTTATCTTCCAGTTGTTTGTGTCTCCTTTGACAAAGCCCGAGATGATGACGAAGAGGAGTACAAGCACATTGACAGAGGTGAAGACTTTATTTACCCAGGCTGACTCCTTCACCCCAAATGACAGGAGCCCTGCAGGAGCACAAACATGATGAGCGCAAAAACTGTCAATCTTCATTAAAATGTAGCAATGTGGCTTTGCATCTGGTGGAAATGCACTTAGGTAAGAGCAGTGGTTCTTAACCTGGGTTTGATCGACCCCTAGGGATTCGGTGAATCGGTCTTGGGGATTCAATGGAGCCTCTGCCATGGAGGTCAAGACATACCCGACTCAACATGTCAATTAGTTATGAGACGCCTGCTTGGCCATCACTGGCTGCAGATGATCACATGACATTGCTTGTCCAATCAGTGCTGCGGGAAATGTAGTTCGCTCAGTCGTCAACCTGTGACTGTTGTGATAGTACGTTGTAAAATTTAAAAAAACGTATACTTACGTTTGAAATTTTATTTACTTTTTTCTGTTTTTAATAAATGTGTTTTTTATGTCTTTTGAATTTGGAAAAAGTCATATTTTGGTTTTTCACTAATGAAGGGTTCGGTGAATGTGCAAATGAACTTGTTGGGTTTGGTACCTCTAACAAGGTTAACAACCACTGGGTTGGAGTTATTGATATCATCATTATTTTTGAGTCCCACCCAAACAGTACATTTTATGCTTGAATGCAATATTCTGAGAGGCTACTAAATTTCCAGCAGTGCCAGGACTATTTTGGAGGGAATTTCCTTTTTAAAAATCAAGATCAGGAACAGTTGAGCTCGGACTACCACCCAAGATTACTTCTAGTTGGATTTTAACCTTTCGCTTCCAAATATGGAAAAGTTCTTCTTTTTCATTCAAAATGGCTTTCATTCACTAAAATCCTGCGTCTCATTGCGGCCAAAGGTCGGTTATTGCGCCTTGATGCTGCAAATAGTCAATCCTCATTGTGGCGAATGCCGCATGCTGAACGAGCAAACTTCTTTGTTGCCGTGAGAGGCGGCACCAAATTAGAACATAAGTCACATATTAGTTGCCATGACCATTTCTTCTTCTTTCCTTCTTCTTACGTTTCTTCAACAAATTTCTGTTGCCAGTTGGTTAAACAGAAATTGAAATTTCTAACCCAACCCAAACCTATTTGCTAATGTGAACACGATTAAGGAATGGGGTCAAAGCCGGACCTCTAACCAGGTCGCAGGACCAGCTATACTATGAAAGAAAATGTGATTTTCCAATCTTGAAGACATCAGTTTCATTCAATTGTTCTAGATGACAGCCATGACAATTTTCCTGGCTGATAAGAGTCTTTGTGAAGGCGCACATGAACTGTAATTAGGCTTCTCAATTAACACATTTGTGTGTCAATATTACTTTCAGGAAATCAGACTGTTGCACAACAATTGATATCAGTAAATTTTCTCATGCCGCAAAACTATCGGTGACTCTGTATAAGTATACATCATCTGATCGCTGAGAACAGAGCATGGTGTAGTTCACAGTGGAATCCCACAACTTGCACTGGGTATCAGAAATATGCGTGAACCAAGAATGGCTCTTTCGTCACTGCTCATACAAATACGGTGAAAGGACTCACTGGTGGAACTGTATTTTAAGTTGAACAGCTTTTAAAGTGCATCCAACATATAAGCTACTGGCATATATTCACAGGGTTGGTCATTACTCGTGGTTGTTTTTTTTTTTTTCTTCTTACCAGACAGCAGTAGAATCAGACAGACTGCAAAGAAGTCAGGGTACTGAGCCAGACCAGGAGAGTTCATGCTGAAGTAAGTTTGGCAGAATATTTCAATATGTCCTCCTGTCATTTCATCAAATGTTCCGCTCCAAGCCCGAGCTACTGAGGAGGTACCTGTGACAGAACGTAAACAGGAATTAGTGTCAACATACCAACACGGATCTGTTAGTTAGGTGTTTGTAACTCACCAATCACATAGGAGAGAATCAGGTTCCAGCCGGTGATAAAGGCCCATATCTCCCCTACGGTTACATAACTGTAAAGGTAAGCAGAACCCGTCTTTGGGACGCGAGCTCCAAACTCGGCATAACAAAGGCCGGCCATGACAGAGGCCAGGGCAGCAATGAGGAAGGAGATGACTATGCTAGGTCCAGAGTCTCCCTTGGCAACTTCTCCAGCCAGGACGTAGACACCTGCACCCAGAGTGCTGCCCACGCCGAGGGCGATCAGGTCCACAGTCCCCAGGCAACGACAGAGCTTGGATTCCTCCAAACTGCTCATGTCAACCAACTTTCGCCTCACCAAGGAACGGCCGAATGACAGAACCTGCTCTAACATGTTGTCTCCTGTTAACACAGAGAGAAAAAAAATCAGAAACTATGTAAGCATGAATTTTTGCACTTGGAATTTCAGCACGTTGTAAAACTCGCACACCTCTGATGCTGAAAGGTTCATCCCAAAACATATCGAGATGAAACACGGGGAGGAGTGAGCTATTGAGGGATTTGAAAAGCGCTTCAGGAGAAATGGCAAGCAGTTGAGGAATGCTGCAAAGGCCTGTAGTAGAGTACCATTCAATCAATTGTTTGGTGTTACGGTGCAGACTGGATTTTTCAAAGGACCAAATTCACGAAATGAGCATGGACGCGTCACAGTGACCCAGCAACCAGATTCCAATATCGCTCACTATAAGTTACACTACCCTAGAAACAAAGAAACTGCAGATTCTTCTTCCTTTCTTCCCAAACCGTAAAGAAAGTGCACAAATAATGATAACCCACATCAGGATTTTTTTTCTCGTGTTTTTATTCGTCTTTAGGCATGAAAAAAAATAATGCCAGTGGATGGCAACACACGTAAGGATCCATTGTAGTGGTTGATGCACAACCTCGACATTAACATTAATTCATATAAGAGAAAACAACATTTCAATAGATGCCCATTCTAGTAACCACCCAAACCTGAAAGGGTACAAAAAATTACATTTGTGAGTATAATACAAAAACAGTAAATACCTCTCCTTTCCAATTAAAAGATTAATTTTGCTCATTTGAACCAAAATTTGCAATACTCACAAATTCACCCAGATAAACTATTTAAATGTGCATTTATACCCCTTTAGAGAAGCATCAGAACTGGATTTTGTATGTGACAGCTCATTTGCATTATATTGGAGACATGGTGTTAGAATGCAATCTAGTTCATGAAAAATGTAGACCGTAAAGACCCAACTTAGTCTTTTTTTTTTAATCGTCAGTTTCACAATATTTTGCAGTTTTTTAAATTATCTTTCTAAAATGATCTCACATAGGATTTCAACACACACACACGCACACACACAAACAAAACAAAAACAGGCAAGATGAACTTTTTTGAAGCATTTATCATCATAGATCATCAGAGATATGCACCTACCTGTGAATATGATTCAACCTGGATCGTCCAAAAGTGTGACGAAAAAGCAACAAGTATCAGGATGTTTCTGCACGGAACATTTGCGGGTCCTTAAATGTCAGATTGGCGATCCCTTGAGCTGCAGCCTTCAGTTCTGACTGAATACTGTACTGGGTTCCACATGAATTCACCTCCCCGACTGTGCAAACTGCTGAGCAGGATTTTTACTCCTCCCCTCTGTGCTCAGTATTGCTTTGTAGGATATGTCTGACTTTGCCTGTGGGGAGAGGCGTCCCCATTTCCATTTACATGCCTGTCATTTGGAATATTACCATAATGCAACAAAAGTTGCCAAAATTACCATTATAAAGCAGAAAAAAAAAGAGATGGAGTCAACACTGTTATTATGGAAATAATGGTTGTTGAAGCCACTTGAGGCCAAAGCAGGTCTACAGCAGATGCTTAGCAAGGACTGATAAGTAGTTCAGCAACTGGCATTGACAAACAATGTGTCACACACTTGTGTTTACCCAGTGCAGGCATGAGGAGTGCAACTAAAAGCATAGCTGTTGATTGGTCACTGAAGGATGGATGAGCAACAGCAAAAGGGAGGTGGGTTACCCTGCTCGTGGATCGTGAGTCTTGCTCAATGTTCGATGAGGTACTGGACCCATAGGATGAGCTGTTATGATTGTATTATTGTCGATGTTTCATGTTATGTGTTTCTGTAAAGGTCTTGGTGAAAGTTGCAGCTGTTGTAAAAACTCAATATAAATAAAAATGTATTGTTTTGCATGGATAGGAATCGATATCGATATATATATATATATATATATA